TGAGGCAAGTAGAGTTCGATATCGATTTGGTCCCGGGGGCCGCGCCTATCGCTAAGGTGCTTTATCGTCTTGCACCTCCAAAGATGCAAGAGTTATCCTCGCAGCTTCAGGAGCTGCTGGGGAAAGGGTTTATTCGGCCTAGAAGCTCGCCGTGGGGAGCGCCTATTCTGCTTGTCAAGAAGAAGGATGGTTCACACCGGATGTGCATTGATTAGCGGGAGTTGAACAAGCTGACGGTCAAGAACCGTTACCCGTTACCGAGGATCGACGATTTGTTCGACCAGTTGCAGGGAGCATCTTGATTCTCCAAGATCGATTTGAGGTCTGGCTACCATCAGGTGAGGGTGCGAGATGAGGACATCCAGAAGACAGCGTTTAGGACGCGTTATGGGCATTATGAGTTTGTGGTGATGCCTTTCGAACTCACCAATGCCCCGCTCGTGTTCATGGATCTCATGAACCGGGTGTGCAGGCCGATGTTGGATCGGTCGGTGATTGTATTCATTGATGACATTTTGGTATATTCGAGATCTAGAGAGCCGCATGAGGAGCATTTGAGGGAGATCCTCGGAGTTCTGAGATCGGATAGGCTTTATGCCAAAATATCCAAGTGTGATTTCTGGTTGCGAGAGGTCCAGTTCCTTGGACATCTTGTTAACCGGGGAGGGATATTGGTCGACCCGGCCAAAGTTGAGGCGGTGATGAGTTGGGAGGTACCGAGGTCACCCTCCGAGATCACGAGCTTTCTAGGGTTGGCCTGTTATTATCAGAGATTTATCAGGGATTTCTCTAAGATCGCAGTGCCACTCACTAGGTTGACTCGGAAGGGTGTCACTTTTTCATGGGGCCCCGAGCAGCAGGCCTCCTTTGAGACACTTCGCCAAAGGTTATGCGAGGCCCTGGTGTTAGCCCTCCCGGAGGGAATGGAGGACTTTGTTGTATACTGTCATGCATCGATCTTGGGGTTGGGAGCGCTGCTGATGCAGAGACAGCATGTGATAGCATATGCATCAAGGCAGTTGAAGCCTCATGAGATGAGGTATCCCACCCATGACCTAGAGTTGGGGGCAGTGGTGTTCGCCCCCAAGATTTGGCGCCACTATTTGTATGGGGTTCGGTGTACGATATACACGGACCATAAGAGTCTGATGTATTTAATGGATCAGCCCAACCTAAATATGCGGCAGAGGAGGTGGTTGGATGTGGTTAAAGATTACGATTGTGAGATCCTGTACCATCCGGGCAAGGCTAATGTGGTAGCCGACGCCCTGAGTCGCACGGTGGAGAGTGCCCCGTTGCGAGATGTATGTTTGCGATTGACTGTGATGACTCCGATGTTGGACACCATTCGAGGAGCACACGCTGAGGTAGTGAGGTTGGAAAACCAGAAGAGAGAGAAAGTTTTTGGGTTGGTATCGGAGTTCGTTACCGATGGTCGGGGGCTTATGACTTTTCAGGGGCGTATTTGGGTACCGTTTGTGGGAGGAACGCGTACCATTTTGATGGAAGAGGCTCATCGGTCGAAATTCTCGATCCATCCTGGGGCCACTAAAATGTATTTGGATTTGAGGAGGGAGTATTGGTGGCCCTGTATGAAGAGGGATGTTGCGTGGTTTGTTGAGAGGTGCTTAACCTGCCGTAGGGTTAAAGCCGAACACCAGAGACCGCGCAGCCGTTGGAGGTTCCTGAATGGAAGTGGGAACAGATCACCATGGATTTCATCACCAAATTGCCAAGGACTGATCGGGGAGTTGATGCGATTTGGGTGATTGTGGACAGGTTGATGAAGAGCGCTCACTTCCTTGCTATCAGCGAGAGTTCTTCTGCAGAGAAGTTAGCAGAGATGTATGTGAGGGAAGTGGTATCTCAGCATGGGGTGCCGATCTTGATTGTCTCAGACCGGGATGTACGTTTCACTTCCAGATTCTGGAAGAAGTTTCATGACGAGTTGGGTACTAGGCTGCATTTTAGTACCGCATATCACCCCCAGACAGACGGACAGAGTGAGCGGACGATACAGACACTCGAGGACATGCTCCGAGCATGTGTATTGGATTTCGGGGGAAGTTGGGATACGTATTTGCCCTTGGCCGAGTTTTCTTACAACAACAGCCATCATTCGAGCATCGGTGTGCCACCCTTTGAGCTGTTTTATGGGAGGAGGTGTTGGACCCCCATTTGCTGGGGAGAAGTCGGACAGCGCGTTATGGGCAACACTGAGATCGTACTTCAGACGACAGAGCAGATCCAGCAGGTCAGACAGAGGTTATTGACTGCTCAGAGTCGACAGAAGAGTTATGCGGACAGGCGCCGGTCCGAACTTGAGTTCCAGGTCGGCGACGTTGTGCTCCTGAAGGTCTCTCCTTGGAAAGGAGTGATTCGATTCAGGAAGAGGGGCAAGTTGGGGCCCTGAAATATCGGACCATTTCGGGTAGTCGCGAGGGTAGGCAGGGTAGCCTATCGTTTGGATTTGCTAGTAGAGTTGGGGCAGATTCGCGACACTTTCCATGTGTCGCAATTGCGGAAGTGTATAGCCGATGAGTCGGCAGTGGTTCCATTAGAGGATATTCAGGTGGATGCGAGCCTGAATTATGCTGAGAGACTAGTGGCAATCAAAGATCGGAAAATCAAAGTTCTGAAAAACAAGGAGGTGCCTTTGGTTTTGGTTCAGTGGCAGCATCGGAAGGGGTCCGAGATTACTTGGGAACCGGAGTGTGAGATGCGCGAGCAGGATCCGGAGTTATTTGAAGAGCGAGACTTCGAGGGCGAAGTCGAGTTCTAGTGGGGGAGAATTGTAACAGCCCAGAGTTTCTAGGTATTTATTATTGATGTATTTTTGGAGAATTGTGAGTGGACTCGGCGTGTTGGAGCTCAAACTCACCGAGTAGGATCGCGATTTTGGACGCGGGTTCACGTCTAGACTCGGCGAGTCCCAGAGTGGACTCGGCGAGTCCACGCTGTGTAACGAAACCCTAATTCCCAGGGTTTGAGACCTATTTAAAGGGGCTTATGGCCATCATTTGCGGCCACCAACCCCTAGAGAGAAACCCTAAAGAGATTTGAGCGTTTTGGGAGAGAAAAGAGGCCATTATTGATCTTTGGAGCTTGGTTTGGCAAGGTAAAGGAGATTCTAGCTAAGAGAAGGCAAGGGAAGTGGACATTCTGCGATTTTTGAGCTCAGAGCATCATCTTGGAGGTATATCTTGGCTTTCTTTTTCGTTTTTATGATGAACATGGGGGTTTAGGGTTTCTTGACCCCTTTGTTGGTTAGATTTGATGTCCATTTCATCCTTATTCATGATAAGGCTTGAGATGAGATCCATAGAGGTCCAGAAGAGCTGTATTCCTTAAGCTTTATGAGGTTCATGAGAGTATTTGCCTAGATTTATGAGATATGGGGCTAAAACATCATTTATGAGCAAATAGTTGTTGTTTGAGCCCCAAGGTTTGAACTTTACGTGATTATCATGCATGGGGAGGCCAGATCTATGAATGTATGGAACAGATCTGACCTTAGGAGTGAGTTTGAGTTGTTGCATGGCATGGACTCACCGAGTCCGAAGAACAGACTCGGCGAGTAGCATGAAGATTGCCCAGCACCACTCAACGAGTGGTCTTGCCGAGTTAAGGGATTGACTCAGTGAGTCAGGAAGAGTCAGAGTGGGTTGACAGGTGGACTGAGTCAAGCTGGGAATCGCCGAGTTGTTCTTGAGACTCGGCGAGTTGAGTCGTGGAGGCCCCACAACTCATGCCAGGTGGAACTCGTCGAGCTAGGAGAATACTCGTCGTGTCAAGTGAGGATCCCAGGGAAATCAGTGTATGCGCATAGACTCGCCGAGTCGCTATAGTGCATCTCCGGTCAGAGTTGACCGTTGATTATTGACCAGTGTTGACCTATGCTGACTTGTTAAGGGATAGTCAACCTTAGTTGTGAAGTGTTATTTAGAGATGTATTGTATTATAGGAGGACTATAGATCGGGAGATCGATCACGAGTGATTTCAGGGACTTGCGAGTTACCGAGATTGTGAGGTGGGTCTTCTCACTATACATACCTTGAGTAGGTAACTAGAGTTATGTGATACAGTGCTTGTATGCTATATTTGTGTTATGTGTTGCGCTGCATTATTCTTTGTGATTTATGCTGTGGATGTTTACGGAGTTAGAACCTGAGGGTTCACAGAGTTTGGGTGCACGGACCCACAGAGTTATAGCCTCGAGTGGCTAATATGTGTTATATGTGGTATTTTGGGGAACTCACTAAGCTTTGTGCTTACAGTGTTTGGTGTTATTTGTTTCAGGTACTAGTGACGACCGTGGGAAGGCGCCGGCTTGATCAGTACACACACATGGGATTTATGATTTTGAGATCTTGGGATTTTTGTATTACTTGGATTGAATTTCAAATATGGTTGTTTTATGAATACTATGTGAATTATGTTTTATAAAATTTGAAAATTTTGTTTTGAATTTTACGGTGTTACACAGGGGTTCCCGGGAATGCTAGGTAGTATCAATTGCATGCATTGGGCTTGAGTAATATGCCCAAACACATGGCGTGGTCAGTACATGCGAGGTGACCATAGAGAGCCGACGATTGTCTTAGAAGCAATCACATCACATGATCTTTGATATGGTATGCATTCTTTGGTCCAACTAGTGCAAACAACGACATCAATGTTCTAGACCAGTCACTAATATTCAAATACATTTACCTTGGAAAGTCGCATGATGTACATTTTCAAGCAAATTGGCTAGCATATAAGTGCGGATACTAACGGGATATATATCATACCTTATTTTCTTTGGCGAAATTGTTCATATATCCGAACGACGAAACAATAATTTTTTTTAAACAGACACAAGAGTCAGTTAAGAAGGACGTGGAGCGAACATTTGGTGTACCCAAGAGGCGTTGGCAAGTACTAACAGTCGGGGGCACGATCATTTGATTTAAAAAGGTTGCAACACATAATGTACTTGTGTATCATATTACATAATATGATTCTTGAAGATGAAGGAAGAGCGATATGCCGATACAATGTAAACGAAGTTTTGCCAAATGTCGAAGGTGTAGCCATCGGTACACAAGAGTATATGGCAAATAGAAAAGAATTACATGATCATGACATTCATCATGCCCTTCTTGTGAATTTGGTAGAACACGTTTATAGAGCTCATATACAGTCCCAGACAGAGTATCAACACAATATTTGTTTGACGAATCAGATGAAGATTCAGATATGTTCGTCAAGGACTTGGGAGAGGATTCAGTTGACAATGACGAGGACGACGATTATGAGTGATATATTTTATTTTTCAAATTCGGATATTATGTAATTCTTAATTATATTTTATAGGCTGTTTTTTAAAATCTAGGTTGTGTGTGTGTGTGTGTTTTTTTTTAATATTAGTTGTTTTCTAGGTTTATTTTTAATCGTGAATGTTTTTATTTACTTTTTATTTTAAGTAATGAAGTATTTTAAGTTTAATTAATTTTTGTGTTTATGTAACACTTGGATTCTTGAGATATGCTAAATTGTGAGTTTTGGGGGTTGTCATGACGTGGTGGAGGAACCACCTTGACGTGGCGAGGGCAAATTGGTCGCATACTTCATTTAAGCCACCATGGCGTGGCAGCCGTCTGGAGGTCTAAACCCTAAATTTCTGGTCTTGCAGCCTATTTAAAGGTAGTAGTAGTTAGGGTTTCACCTCTTATCAGCCTCTAACACCCATAAACCTAAACCCTAGCCCTCTTTGAAGCTCTTGACTCATTTGGTGTGTTTTTGTGGCCTTGGAAGGAAGACGAATGAGCTTTTTGATGGGTTTTAGCCATAAGAACTTTCCTATGTGCGCATGCAAAACCCTAATGCTTGGATCTAAGCTTTCTAATTAAACATGCTTTGAATCCAAGACTTCTAATGGCTAATTAGGTTAAATAACAACATTGAAACAGATCTAGAACCATACCTTTGAATTCCTTGTTGATCTTGTTGTCTTGGAGCTTCTAGAGTCACAAATGTCACTCCTCTAATGGCTTACAAACACCAATAGCAAGAAAGATGATTTAGGAGAGAGGAGAAGGGAGGAATTCGGCCAGAGTATCTCTACTTTAGATGATGTATCGAATTCCCTCACCCCTAGGGTCTATTTATACTTGTAGATTCCTTAAGGATTACAGCTTTAACCCTAATTGGATAACTTAGACTTTAAGTTAATCCATATCCATTCCTTGATAACCCTATGGATGATTTTGGCTTATCCAAGCCCTAGAAATCGTCCAACCTATTGGATAAGGATTTATAGTCTAAAGTGTAACTATCAAACAATTGACAGTTTATACCCTCTTATTTAATTAATCTCTTTAAGTCACCAAATTAATTCCAATTAATCTATGACTTATATTAATCAAATAACCATATATTATTCCTTATAATATTTACTCTCTCTTAACAAATCATCCATCAAGTTGCTATGGTGAAGGCAACCCAAAAGGACCATGCACAACCGGATCAAATACTTGCCTAATATAGTTGCAGCCTTAGACACTATTCCAACAGTCTCCCACTTGGATAAGTCTAGTAACTATACAAGTACAATTCGGTTTGCAATCGTAGCTCTCAAAGACGCTATCAAACTCTGATCTAATCAATCTTGTCCTTTAGATAAGGGATCGTACAGTCCTCTGTTAGATATCATGCTGACAATCCTATGGAATGGTTAGTCTAGCATTTGATTTCTCGATCTCCGATTTATTCGACATAGAACTTAATCAAACACATCAATTCAGTTCTGACCGGGCCCGGCACATAAGTCAAATCAAATCATCGAGTGGCCAAGATATCTCTTCTACCCTCTTAGGATAAAATTTACAGATAAACTTCGACTTATATGCATTTACTTATTCATTAACCAACTATACACAACAATGCGTTTTATAACACCAAGTTACTGATGCGTTTTCGCATTATCAATGTACAATCAATTAACAAATAATAAACCATATATCTAGGTTTTAAGACTATATGATATTATCGTCTTGCGATCACCTTTTATATCGTATTCCATAAAGTGATTCCAGCAAGCGCGGGTTTGTTCCAATGCTCATGAACGTTGCAGCAACCCTTTGCTATGTCTAACACCATTTAGACAATCTACACACCAATTCATGACAATCTTCATTCATATCTACTTCCAACATATGAACGATTGTGGACAATTTGAATAATTCGATTATTCCTAATAAACTCAATTATTCTGGAAGTCAAAACATGCAAAGTGAAACAATAGTTAAACAATTAACATATGACAGTAACTTTACTTATAAATAAAACTCCTTTATTTAATCATCAAATGTTAATTACATTTATCTATTATACGTTTCTAATACTATCTAATCTATACTAATATCATCCTTCAGCCCAATACTCCTAGCATGCTGCAAGTGCTTAACCCTACTCAGTCCCTTCGTAAGCGGATCTGATGGGTTATCTTCTGATGATATCCTCTTAACTATGAGTTGTCCTTCTTCTACACGATGTCTAATGAAGTGATATTTTCTGTCGATATGTCTTGATCTACCATGATCCCTCGGTTCCTTGGTCAAGGCAACCGCACCTTCGTTATCACAGAAAATCTCCATGGGCTCCTTTATGGCAGGCACAACTCCAAGATCACCAATGAAGTTCTTTAGCCATATTGCCTCCTTCGACGCTTCGCTCGCTGCGATGTACTCTGATTCGCACGTTGAATCAGCTACGGTTTCTTGCTTGGAACTTTTCCAAGTTACTGCTCCTCCATTTAGGGTAAAGACCCAGCCCGACTGCGAACGGTAGTTGTCCCTATCGGTCTGAAAACTGGCATCACTATACCCTCGCACCTTCAAGTCATCACTCCCTCCAAGGACTAAGAACCATTCTTTCGTCCTCCGAAGGTACTTAAGGATGTTCTTCACCGCAATCCAATGTGCTTTGCCAGGGTTCCCTTGATATCTGCTAACCATGCTCAAAGCGAAGGCTACATCAGGGCGAGTACAAGTCATAGCGTACATGATTGAGCCAACTGCGGAAGCGTACGGTACTCGGCTCATTTCTGCTATTTCAGCTTCAGTACTCGGACTTTGAGTCTTACTCAACTTGGCATTTCCTTGTATCGGTAGTTCTCCCTTCTTTGAGTTTTCCATACTAAAACGTTTTAGTACCTTCTCTAAGTAAGTATTCTGACTAAGTCCAATTAGTCTCTTACTTCTTTCTCTTACTATCCTTATTCCCAAAATGTAAGAAGCCTCTCCGAGGTCCTTCATAGCGAAACACTTCCCGAGCCAGGACTTGACTTCCTGCAGAGTCGGGATGTCGTTTCCTATGAGTAATATGTCATCGACATATAGAACGAGGAAGCTTACTATACTCCCACTGGCTTTGACATATACACAAGATTCGTCTTCGCTTCGTACAAATCCAAACTCTTTGACTTTCTCATCGAAGCAAAGATTCCATCTGCGAGACGCTTGCTTAAGTCCATAAATGGACTTCTCAAGCTTACACACTCTATTTGGATGCTTCGGATTCACAAACCCCTCTGGCTGAGCCATGTAAACATCCTCAGCCAACTTTCCGTTAAGGAAGGCGGTCTTGACATCCATTTGCCAAATTTCATAATCATGAAATGCGGCAATTGCTAGCATCACTCTAATAGATTTAATCTTCGCAACTGGTGAGAAGGTCTCATCATAGTCAACTCCTGGAGTTTGAGTAAAGCCCTTCGCAACCAATCGCGCTTTATACGTGTGTACGTTCCCATCCACGTCGGTCTTCTTCTTGAAGATCCACTTGCACCCAACGGTCTTACGTCCGGGCACATAATCAACCAAATTCCAAACTTGGTTATCGTACATGGATTGGATCTCGCTATCCATTGCCTCTTTCCATTTCGCAGACTCCGGGCCTGCCATGGCTTCCTTATAGCTATTAGGTTCATCAAGATTTACTAGTGTACCATCACTAATATACGTGTCCCCTTCGGTAGTAATATGAAAACCATAAAACTGGGGATGAACTCTAACTCTATCGGAACGTCTAAGAGGTAAGGATTCGTCAATCGGTTCAACCGGAGTTTCCTCCTCGGGTTGAATGCCAGCGGTAGAGGTTCCTTCATCTATCGACTCTTGAATCTCTTCAAGTTCGATTTGCCTCCCACTGTCTCCTTGGCTTATGAGTTCTCGCTCTCGGAAAACTCCTCTCCTCGCAACAAAGACAACATTGTCCTTTCGGTCTATAGAAGAGATATCCAAAGGATGTCTGCGGGTAGCCGATGAAAATACATCGCTCACTTCGAGGTTCAAGCTTGTCGTGAGTATCTCGTCTTACGAAAGCCTCGCAACCCCAAACCTTGATGTGTGCCAACGAGGGAGCTTTCCCCGTCCACATCTCGTGAGGTGTTTTGGCAACCTTCTTAGTAGGGACTCGGTTAAGGATATGGGCGGCAGTCTCTAAGGCATACCCCCAAAAGAAGATAGGTAGTGAAGCACGACTCATCATAGAGCGAACCATATCCAATAAGGTTCGATTACGCCTTTCTGCCACACCATTCAACTGCGGTGTCCTAGGAGGCGTCAATTGCGAAACTATTCCACACTCCTTGAGATAATCGTGGAATTCAAGACTTAGGTACTCTCCTCCTCGATCGGATCGAAGCATCTTGATTTTCCTGCCCAATTGATTCTCCACTTCATTCTTGAACTCTTTGAACTTTTCAAAGGTTTCTGACTTTTGCTTGATTAAATAGATATACCCATATCTACTATAATCATCGGTAAAAGTCACATAGAAGCGGTTCCCATCCTTCGTGGTTGATCTAAAGGGTCCACATACATCGGTATGTATTAGGTCCAATAGCCCCTCACCCCTTTCACAAGTATTCGTGAAGGGTGACTTAGTCATCTTTCCAAGTAAACAAGACTCGCATGTGTCATCTTCCCTAAGGTCGAATGACTCCAACACTCCATCCTTTTGGAGTTGGGCTATGCGTTTCTTGTTGACATGTCCAAGACGGCAATGCCACAAGGATGCTTTATCCATACTAGTGGAAGAATCAATATTCAAAACATCATTTCCTAAGTTATCAACAATCATAACAGTTTCATATATTCCATTACATGGTATAGCTTCAAAGTAAAAGACACTATTTAGATAAGCCATAATAGAACCATTCTCATTATTAAAAGAAAATCTAAATCCTTGTCTATATAAACCATGAAATGAAATGATGTTTCTAGCCATTTCTGGCGAATAGCAACAATTGTTCAAATCTAAACATAAATTATTCCTAAGCACTAAAGAATA